TTCTGGATTTCAAATGATGAAACTTTTGCCGCTCTGGCTCCACGAGATTATTGCTTACATTTTATTTGGTTGGTCAATTCCTTATATTAGAATCTAAATTTTATTGGATACATTATCTTATTAAATTAATTAATTTTCTTCTATTAGAGTATATCTTATATATTTTGATATCTTTTTATAAGAACTTATATATGTATTACCAGTTGTCAACACATTTCCTGTTTATATATCTAATTCATCCAATCCTGTTAAAAATAGTATGTGCATATAATGGTAGAATCATGGAATCTGAAATCTCTCTGTTTTTCTCAGATAATGATTTGGTTTGTGATCCCAAGTGCTGGAGAATCCAGATACGCAGCACATCAGAACCATACACTTTCCTTGGTCGTCCTTATACAATACGTACCTCGCTTCCTTGTCATGCTCCCGCTCAACCGCCGGATCATTAAAGCCACTGGAGTCGCAGCCAAAACAGCCTGGTCCGGTGCAGCCTACAATCTCGTCCTCTACTTACTTGTGAGCCACGTAAGGAACCCTTTTCTCTGTCTATACATGACCTAGAAATGTCTTTGTTTCACAATTTGGTTTCCCTTTTAGGTTCTTGGCTCTGTTTGGTATGTTTTATCGATCCAGAGACAGCACGAATGCTGGAGAAGAGAATGCACAAAGGAGACGAATGCGTCACACTCACCGTCTTGTAGTCTCTTGTTTCTAGACTGTGGATCGTTGCAGGATCCAGGTAGACAAGCTTGGATGCGGATCACCCGGGTTCTCTCTAATTGCGATGCACGTAACGACGATGACCAACATTTCCAGTTTGGTATGTTCGGTGATGCCTTCACTAATGATGTCACTTCTTCTCCTTTCTTTGATAAATACTTCTACTGCCTCTGGTGTCAAATAAAAGTTATAAAACCGAAAGTCCGTTTTTCGCAGTTTCTTTACTGAGTTTTCGTAGTTGATTTGGTTTGTGTAGTTCTTATGGACAGAGTCTTGCAGCGAGTACACTGAGTAGTGAGACTATATTCAGTTGTTTCATCTGTGTCGCGGATCTTGTTTTCTTCTCTCATCTTATTGGCAATGTTCAGGTAATTTATTAAATGTATATATAATTTTTCTCGATCTATGGCTTAACAATTGAGAGTTAAGTGATTGTTAATTTTCTTGAAGAACTATCTGCAATCGACAACGGCTAGATTAGACGAATGGAGAGTCAGAAGAAGAGATACAGAGGAATGGATGCGACACAGACAATTGCCAACAGAGTTACAAGAGCGTGTGAGGCGGTTCGTCCAATACAAATGGTTAACAACTCGTGGAGTCGACGAAGAAGCCATCCTACGTGCTTTACCGTTGGATCTTCGTAGACAGATCCAACGACATCTCTGTCTCGCCTTAGTTCGCCGTGTAATCCATACCACACAACACTAGAATCTGATTGATCCCTACTCAAGTACCAAACCCTAATTTAACTCTGTTTTGTTTTCAGGTGCCGTTTTTTGCGCAGATGGATGACCAACTCTTAGACGCGATATGCGAGCGTTTAGTTCCTTCGTTGAACACGAAAGACACATACGTGATACGTGAAGGCGATCCTGTAAACGAGATGCTTTTCATCATTAGAGGTCAGATGGAGAGTTCGACTACAGACGGTGGACGGTCAGGATTCTTTAACTCCATCACGCTTAGACCAGGAGATTTCTGTGGTGAAGAGCTTTTAACATGGGCTTTAATGCCAAACATTAACCATAATCTCTCCCCTTGTCCACAAGAACCGTGAAAACTCTCTCCGAAGTAGAAGCTTTCGCTCTCAGAGCAGAGGACTTGAAGTTCGTAGCTAACCAATTCAGACGTCTCCACAGCAAGAAACTCCAACATGCTTTTAGGTAATTAATATCCTTTCTTGCTTCACACGGAATAAAACCTTTCTTGCTTCACACGCTATAAGGTTTCTTGATCTTTATGTTTTGACTCTTGATCAGATACTATTCGCATCAATGGAGAGCTTGGGGAACTTGTTTCATACAAGCTGCTTGGAGACGATACGTGAAGAGGAAGCTAGCTATGGAGTTAGCTAGGCAAGAGGAAGGAGATGATTACTATTATGACGACGAGCGAGATTATCAGTACGATGAGATCTTGCAGAAAAGTAGTAACGACGTAGATGACAGTAGCAAAAATAATCAGAATTTGAGTGCGATGATATTAGCGTCTAAGTTCGCAGCTAATACAAAGAGAGGTGTTTTAGGGAACCAAAGAGGTCTTCAAGAATTGATCCTGATGATCCGACTTTGAAGATGCCTAAAATGTTTAAACCAAAGGATCCAGGATTCTTCTGATTTTTTTGTTTGTTGTTGTGAAAAATGGATTTAGGATTTTCAGAAACTGACTTGATTTGCTATATGCAAAATTATGTATATGGTATATAAAGAAACATTATTACAAATCAAAGTAGTTGTGTCTTGTCAAAGATATGTCGATTTCCATCCACCGAATATTTGGCTCCTACAGCTTTTATTGGTGTGGACTTCTTTCGTGATAGTAATAGTAGAATAGTAGGCTAGTAGGTTTCACACTTAAATTCGGCTTTGAAATTCAGAAACAAATGCATTTGAGTTTGGTACATCTATTTTGTCAAGATGATCTTTTAAAATTCCTTCTGCTAAGGATCTTTTAGGATATCTTGTCACTTTATTTTTTATTTGGTTTTTTAAAGTTTCAATGTAAAATTTATATTAAATATTGAATGATCATTTGCAATACTATGTTTTATCTAAAATAATTAATAATTCAAAACGGAAACAGTAATAGAAAATGATAAAAGTAACAATTGAATATCAATTTTGAATAAAGAGTCTTTATAAAACTAAATAGTAGATTGATAGCCTAATTAATGGTTACACTTATTTGCAAATAGTTTGGTTGTAACTTGTAAATTCGTAAGCATGTAATAACATGTTTGGTGCATCATTGTAATAACATGTTTTCAGGTGTGTTTGTAACAATAGCATCTAATATAATATTTTAAGGTTTCCTCTAAATGAAGTTTTGAGAGGTTGCCACTTGTCACTTTTGATATTAACAATTTCTCATTTTTAGTATTTTATTTTTACTTAATTTTGATATTTGTCTCTCTAAATTTTAGAATTTTTGCATTGATTCTTTAAAATAAAATTGTGATATCAATATATTAACTTAAAGTAAACATTTAATTAACATCAAATTATCTTCATAAATTAATTAAAAATATGTAAAATCATATTCTAATAGGTAATTTTTTTTTCAATATCTCTTTTCAAATTCTTTAAAATTTTCTTAATTAGAACTTCCGAAAAACTTATCATATTTAAAAAATATATATTTTTAACTTTTTTTGTTGTTTTTTCTTTTTGTGATCAAGTATATTAAGAGTATATCCTATATAAATTAAACTATTCTATAATAAACTATTTTAAAAAGTATATAAGATGTTCCGATGTTTTTTTGTATTGGTGACATGTCATAATGTCATTATATAATTTTCTACCATGTTTGATATATCAATATTTTGATAACACTAGAAATATATATTTTTTAAATATGATATTTTTTTGGAAGTTCTAATTAAGAAAATTTTAAAGAATTTGAAAAGAGATATTGAAAAAAACAATTATTTATTAGAATATGATTTTACATATTTTTAATTAATTTATGAAGATAATTTGATGTTAATTAAATGTTTATTTTAAGTTAATATATTGATATCACAATTTTGATTTTAAGGAATCAATACAAAAATTCTAAAATCTAGAAAGACAAATGTCAAAATTAAGTAAAACTAAATTACTAAAAATAAAAAATTGTTAACACCAAAAGTGATAAGTGACAGCCTCTCAAAACTTCATTTAGAGAAAACCTTAAA